CTGACTTTTTTCTAGTTCCCTGTCTAGAATTTGTAATGCTAATTACTCTTGCCTTTACTTCTCCTTCACATCTCCTATTCACGATTCAAGGGCTTTCTTTTCCCCCTAGAGATAAGAGTTATGCAATTTGGGAGTCTTTTAGATAGACCCACTGAAGGGTCCAATTTCCTTACCATGTGTCCCTATTCAGCATGGAAGAAATCAGAGTGATCTGTGTCCCAATTCCCTATTGGCAATTTGGGTAAACTCTTCAGAGGATGGTGTGATAAGAATAGGAGGTAGGAATTGGCTAGGCAGTTAGGGTAAAAAGACCCCAAAGAAAAGTAACCAGTTTCTTGGCTAAAACTCACAATGTCCTTGGGCCTCTCAGCAACATACTTCATTCCAAAGGCCAAAAATGTCAACAGTATTTGGGAGTTTTTATCTAATCTTTAAAAGATTTTAGGGTTACCTCTTCAGAGAGGGGAATATTAGAGTAACCAAAAGCTCCATTAAAAAATAAATAAGTTTATCACCTGTACTAATTAACATGAAGTAATTACCATTGAAATGTACCCCATGATTTTATAAACATACACAGGTGCCAAGGATCCAAGTGCAACTGATTATGACTAGTAATAATCAGATACATACAGATTAGAGATGCATGTGCCAACATCTCAGTGTTAGTAGCAAAAACAGAGTCTTTCTGCAAGGAACAATATATTCTAAAATGAAATGGAGATCTTTTTTAAAGGTTAAAAACTTATGTCTTAAAGGGTTTATACTGAGTTCAATATTGTATAACTGTCTTAATTCAACTGTGAACCTAGAAACCTATAGCCACTTGAGAAAGAGATGTACTCTTGCTCTGGATTGTGTTACTGACTAGCTGTAATTACTTGTAAACGAGATGTACTCTTGCTCTGGATTGTGTTACTGACTATGTTAAAGCTGTAATTAAATGCTTCTTCTAATCATGTAGTTATTAAAAATTTAAAAAATAAGTAAAAGAAGAAGAAGAAAGGGCACATGAAGTTATCAGAAAAAAGTGATGGAGAGCTATGGGAGGAGTTGGAGGGGAGGGAGCGGGCACGGATTTGATCAAAACACCTTATATGCATGTATGAAATTCTCAATAAATTATTTTTTAAGAGAAAAAAATGTGGCTCTTATTCTTCAAGACAAAGATAAATCTCAGAAAAAGAAGCTTAATGTAGTTCCACTTCTAGAGAGCATCAAATGGACACTTTAAAAAATGTATTCTTGGGGAGATCAAGACGGCAGAATGAGGTGTGCTCTGGACAGCTGCACTTGGGGCCTGGGGCATGACCGGTTCCAGAGAAACTGCATACGTGTGCGGGGCTGTGTGAGGAACTTTAGTGCACAGGACAAATATTTTCCTGTTTTGTATTGATCTGAAAACTCTGAACTCAGGACTTGGCAAGTAAAAAAGAAAATAATTGGAGAGCCAAGATGGTGGTGGCACGATCACAGGTGCCAGAGCAGCAGTGGCAGCAGTGGCAACTCTCAAGGATGCAGAGGAGCGGTTCATGCCTGCCAGACCTGGCCATGTGCTCCCCGAGAGCCTGGCCCCGGGCTTTGTGGAGGTGTGGAGTTTTAAGTGGGAAATGACCTTCATGTTTCTATCAGAGGACTTAAAATGTGACTTCAGTAAGAAGATGTCTCATTGCTTGTTCCCCTGACCATGGAGGAACATGTAAAAACAGCAGAAACCAAACCAAACCCAAGCAAAACAACAACAGCAACATTTTTTTTTATACTAGCTAGGCACTATTTATCTGTCCTCTTTCTCTCTTTGTCTTATCATCCCTTCCTGCCCTCCCCATTTAAACTGTCCCCATTTCCCCCATTTCTCCATATGCTATGGTCCCACCTCTCCTGAGCTCCTTCTTCTCCTTTATTTGCATAGTTTTTTGTATAGCCCTCCTTCTCTCCTTCCCCTATTATGTATGAAATGCAGAAAAAATTCAATAAATTTAAAAAAAGTATACATGAAAATGTATATATGAGGAAGTAGTAAAGTAAGAATGCAATATATATTCAAAAAATGACCATTTAAATTTAACCTAAATACACATAACATTAATATACAAATTTAATATATGAAAAATAAGCAATTTGATGAAAGAATAGAAAAACAATTATAAAATACATGTGTGAAATCCTCAGTAAGTTTTTATGTAATTTTAAGATCCATAAAATATTTTGCTAGAATATTAATAACAATTATCTTCAAAACTGTGCTTGGCTATTTTACTAGTTACCTAAGGGATGATTTTTAAAAATACAGTTGTGCATTCATTATGATTGAAAGATAGCTATAATCTTATCAGCAAAATTGATTTTAACCAATTTAATAGAGTGTAATTATCTAGAAGGATTTAATTGCATGTATTCCTGAAGGCTTTCACAGAGATTATATATTTAAAAAAAATTTGCTTATACATTTATAAGAAATTTGCTTTGTTTCCCCAAAGATAGAATCAGCTTACTTATCTGTTATTAAGAATCCGAACTAAAACACATTCAAACAGAAGTACTGTTTTTCACCAGTGTGAATCCTCTGGATCCTTTAGCCTTTGTGAACTGATCTAAATTTCCCTCAGAAGGCTTTGGCTCTCTGAAAGAGCCCATGCTGTTCAAGAATGCTGTCTGAGCACTCACAGAAGGAAGGAAAGGAAGAATTCATCATAGGACTTACTCAGGGTTGTTGCAGAGCCTCTCTGCGCTCTGAGCTCCTGCCCCACAGGTCCTGGAGCAATGAGACCAGGAAGACCAACGTCCCCAGCCTCCAGGAATGCTCTCTGGCTTCTTCCCCACTGTGATACACTTTCCAGCCATACACCACTGTGATGGGAAAAAGTAGGTGACGCATGCATCAGGAAGGTCCCACAGTAAGCTGAGCCAAGGACTCTAATTCTAAACCCAATTCTCTCCAAGCCAGAAAAGAAAACTTTCTACAGTAACATCTTAGTTGCGACACAAAGGACTCATAAAATTTCTTCTGAGAATCTTGGTTTTAGAATCTTGGCTGTATAAACTCAATGATGGATGGTCCCATACTTAAGGATATACACTGTACTCTTTTCTTAATATGTATGAGTGTTTTGCCTGTATGTAAGTGCACACATGCATGCAATGCTGATGGAGATCAGAACAAGGGTGTTGGATCACCTAGAACTGGAGTTACAGGCTGTTAGCTGTCATGTGGGTGCTGGGAACCAAACCCAAGTCCTCTGCAAGAGCAGCCAGTGCTCTTAACTGCAGTAGCATCTCTCCAGCCCTACCGACTAAACTCAAGCAATAGACTCCTAATGACCTGAATGGCTTAGCTGATCAGCATGAGTCACTCTGTTCTTTGGCAGCCTGGGGTATCTAATGTCTCAGAGTCCTGGCTATGTACCTTTTCTGTTTAGGAAAGTTGACAGAACTTTGAGAAATGCAGTCACCCCAAACAGTGGGAAGGAACATTATAAGTGGCCCCAATTTGGTGCTCTGGGAAAGAAAGAACCACTCACTTGTCTTTTCCAATCTTCAATATGGAGTGGGAAATGCAAAAAATGAAAGTCAATGACAGCTTCAACAGATGTTAACCAGAGACTCCATGAAAGTTAATCAGAGAAAGATGGGCTAGATGTGTTGCAAGTGGCTGTGTTCTGCCCTCTCTCCTTGATCACTTCCTTCCCATGAAGGCCAAAAGAGGCAGTGTGTTGGAGTCCTTTCCTGTGGCTGATCTGATGGTGTGAGCACCATTCACTGCTCCTCATCTCCTCCAGGGCCTTCTTCCCACCCCTTTCCAAGAATTCCAGACCAAGTTCCCTCCCATCTTCCTTCCTCAGCCCAACACATCACCTTCTTCTCACCGCAGCGTGTCCCATCTGCAGCAGCATCCAGTTTAGAACGACAAAAGCCTTTCACTGAGCACCACAGTGTCTGGCAAACATTCTGGAAAACAAATGTGAGATTGTATTCTTTTGTATTTTCAAACCTGTACACAAGTATTTCCGCAGTTGTGGTAAAGTACTTACACATCATAAATGCCAGTATTGGTAGTGAATAAGAGCGGCCATTACAGAGCTCAGAGCTCAGATCAGGTGCTTCTTGGTCTTTGCATTCCTTTAGAAAAAGTGGTCTGTACACAGTACCAGACAATATAGAAAGCAGATGAAACTCATATCTGAAGAGTGTGACAGTGTGATTTTTGTGTGTGTGGAACAATATCCAGCACTTATTACCCTTGGGCAAAGTAACTGATGGCATGGTCTAGCAAAGAATAAATCCAAATTTTGGCTGGAAGGCAATTAGATTATTAGCAGCTGAAGTGGTTAAAACTTGAGCCTGCTCACTGAAAGAAATGGAATCTATTCCATTCAGAAAACTGATTATTTTCTAATTTCCTTAAAGAATAAGCTGCTTTGATTGTCAGGAAGCAAACTTCACATTTCCTGTGATTTCTGTCCCTGTTGGAACAAGGGAAGATTGGCAGAAGGCCTACATGCCTCCTGAAGGGTTCAGCTACTTCCGCCTACCTTTCAAAGATTTATTTCATTTCTTTTCCTATTTTCATGCACATGTGTGGTGTGCATGTGTATGCATGTATGTTTGTATGTGTATGGACAAATGTGTGTGTGTGCATGTGGGTACATGAGAATGTGAAAGCCTGAGTTAATGTCAGGAATTATCCTCCATGACTCTTCCATCTTATTCAGTGAATCAGGATGTATTAATCAAACTGAGTTCACTGGCATGGCTAGTCCAGCTGTTCAGCTTTCTCTGAGGATCCCCTGTCTCTGTCTTCCAAAGCTAGAATTATAGGCAGGCTGCCATGCCCAACCCATATTAAAAAGCGTTCTGGGGATTCTAACTCTGGTCCTCAAACTTTCATGGCAAATGCTTTAAAACAGTTGAGCCTTCTCCCTAACCCTACCTAATCTATCTTTTTATATTAAAAAACCATTTTTATTATCATGGCAATGTGCCCTAAAATACTGATTTTTAATTTACTGTGTCTTACGATTGATTTTATTTGCTTTTCCCTTTAATGCCCAAATCTACCAAATTCCCCTACTGAGATCACTACTGAACTGTTTCCTTAGCCCTTTAGACTATACCTCTGGAGCATTTGATCAAATTCTTCTTTTATTGTTCTAGTCAAGATTCAAAGCTCAGTGAGCTCATTTCCTGTCCACATCAAGACCCAGTCATGACTCCTCTGTACTCCTTATGTACACTGGATTAGTTCATCTCAGAAATGTTATTTCTTCAACTGTTTTAGGCAATATAAATATAATTTATATACATATATATATAGTAAATAAATGAATGATGATAGCAGATGACTGAAGGGGAGAGGGAAGGTAAGAGTGACTGTGGCAAAAACACATGATCTACTTTATAAAAATATCTCTATGAAACTCATTATTTTGTACAATCAAAATTTGTCAGTTAAAGTATATATATCATGAAAAAATACTTTTACTTGCAATGTTTTCTTTCCTTCTACATATTCAATTCTTTCTTTTTAAAATGAGCTTACAAAGTAACAAGTTTCATTATGAAATTTTCACACATGATTCTGGTTGATTACCCTCATTTCTCCTCTCATGACAGTTTCATACATGCATATAATTGTGCTTTCTCATGTTCATTCCAATCATTCTCCCTTGTTTCTCCTACCCACTCCCTTGGCTCCTTTCTTCCCCTGAATAGTCTCCTTCTGCTTATATACCCTTTCACAAAAGCATTTCTAAAGTTGTGGTAAAAATTATATATGATATGCATGTATATATACATATATTACCTAAAATGCATTTATACAGACAGAGATTGGATATATGGTAGTCAGATAGATAGATGATAGCTAGCTAGCCATCTATCTACATAGATGATAGATAGATAGATGATAGATAATAGATAGATGATAGATAGATGATAGGTAGATGATAGACTAATTCTGCGTATGAGACAAAACACACCATACTTGCCTTTCTTCTCCACCTTACCCTAGCTTGTTCCCCTTCTACCTACTTTTTAGCTTTTTTCTGCCCACTCATCTTCTATCATTCCATTCACTTTTGGACTTCATTCTTATTGACTGTAGCTTTTCATCACAAGATTTCACATTTCTTTTAATTAGAAAATTCTCATATTTATCTAAATTCCGTTGCTCCATTTGTCCTCTGGAGCCCTTGATTGTTGTTTATAAATCCTCCTTTCTAGCCTCATGCTTCATCTTCTCCTTTATATTATTTAGCTCTCGATTTTCTTCTACCCAGAGATTGAAGAAAGTTCCTCTGTGGGAGAGAGGCTTGAGCCTAGGTTAAAAGTCTTAATGACAGCCGTGCAGCAGGCCCGAGGCAACTGCCTGACTGCTGGAGCCACAAGGAACGCCTTGTGACATTTGCTCCCATTGGCAGATCATGAGACTGATGCCTAGAGCTTGCCACTCCCTAATCACCACCCTTGAGACTCCAAATTGCAACAGTTAGGTATTACAACAGCCTGGGTCACGTGGTTCCCAGGACTCCAGGCCCCATACAGGAAACCGGAACCTAAGTAACCTGAAACCTGTTATGCTAATAACGTGTCTGACTCACGATATCATGATAGGAAACAACCCTGCCAAAGATCTGAGCTGTAACTTCTTGATTGGACCCCTACCCCTATATAAGCTTGTGCCCTTCTGCAATAAACTGAAACTGCATCATGAACCGGGTCTCCTGTGTCTGAATGCAGCTCCACTGACACAGTCTCCTCACCAGCTCTGGGGTCCAGGACCAGGCAGAAGCAGCGATGATCGGAGGCAGCACAGGGTGAGCAGAAGAGCGGCTGCAGGTTGCGCCCAGGGCGAACAGAGGGCGGCCGCATTCCTCCTCCAGCCATCATTTCTAAGAAATACCCAACTGAGATGGCAAATGTTTCCTACCTCTAAATTCCAATTCACTGGTATTTTCTTCAATTGTATCAAATCTACTATTAAATCTATTTATTGAATATTGAATATTTAAGTCAATAATAAAATGTTCTTTCTGAAAGCTGTATTTTTTCTTCATATTTGCCTTTTCTCATATACAACTTTCTCTTTTCTTTCTTTTTTCCTTTTTTTATTCACACTCTAAAGTTCAATGATCAAAAGTTCTTGAGGAGTTAGTGCCTCTCTTTACTTAGCTGAAGACATACCTTAAAAATTTTGAATTATATGCTGAATTGTGAGCTGACTTAAAGGGTAGTTTTACTTACTAGAGTTTGTGCATCCTTGGTTTTGTGCTCCAACTATATGGGGTAGAAGTGTGAACTCTGACTCAGTATGACACTGTAGTGAAGAATTTCAAGTGAGAAAGTTACCTACTTCATTCTTGTGCTCTGTCACTCCAGAAACAGGGTTAAGGATGCTTCTCTGTCATTTCTCTTTGCTATTGTTAGATTTCTTCTTGGCCATCAAATGGTTCTCTGAGAATTTCTATTTAAGATTGGGATCTTGCTATAACTCCAGACATGCTGTGGTGATCATTGCCATCCAGATGCTAAAACCCAAGCTCTCTTATTTCAACATCTGTTGATGCTTGCCACTTTCACTTCTGTTTTCTCCCTGAGGATTTTCTAAATTTTCCTGTAAGTTCATTATATATTTATAGGGAATATGTTGAGTGAAAGACTTTTTGTGGTTTAAGTTATTTCAAAAGAAAATTGTTACAATAAAGATGAACAATGCTAAATTTTAGGTTGTTTGTAAATTAGAAATGATTCTGTTGTGTTGGCTTCAATATAAAGGGATCTGAAATATTTCTTACTCATTTGTTGAATGACTGCTACACATGCTGAGCATGAGGGATAAAAATTTCCTTGGAGAGCTTATTACATACATGAAGCTGTAGACAAGTAAAAAATATTGGCTTTAACGTCTGCTTCATAAGTCCCATGCCCAGCACTGATACCAGGGCCAAGAATCTGTGATGAGATAGCTCCTACTGTGATTATCTTGCTCGATAGACATAGTATTAAACAGATCCTGAAGATTTATTGTTATACCCACAGATTAATGCATCTCTTAACTGTCACTAGAGAAGCTGCTTCTGGCAGCAGATGGTGATTAACATAGACCCACAAGTGGTTAACATGCCAAAAATAAGAGACTACAGAGTTCTTGGCTGTAAATGGGTCTTATATCATATCGTTTGCTTCCAAGGCTCAGACAGAAGAGGGGTGGAAAAATTCTAAGACCAAGAGATGGTAGATAAATACAAGAAAAGAGCATTTTCCAGACATAACAGGATACCCACACATGGACCCACAGCACTTGTGACAGCATGCACAAAACCTGCACAAGTTCAAACCAGACAAAAGCTCAGCATGGAGGGGAGAAGGGGTAAGAAGCCTCAGCACTGGCTTAGGAAATATTAGCAATGATAGCTACTGGGAGAGGGAGAGTCAGGTTTCTTTAAAGATGTGATGCCAGGTAGGTTGCACAGGCTCCAGGGGATGGACCCAATCTATACCCAAGAGCATTTAAGGAACACAAATTAGACTCAATAGACTTAAAAAATAATAGAGGACATGAAGTGAGTGGGAGTAGAGGGGGGAGGGTGTATCTGAAAGGAAGTGGTAGAAGGGATCTGAATGTGATCGAAATGCATTGTATGATCGAAATTCTCAAGGAATTCATAAAATTACTTCCCCAAGGCCATAAAAGTAGGATAGAGATTTGAAGAAAAAAATGTAATGGTGATATAATCTAATGAATGAATTGTCAAAGACAATAAACAATAGCTTATGAAGTGATACTTAAGCTGAAACCTAAATAAGCAAGCAGGAAGACTGACACAAAAGAATAAGAGGTTGCAATGCTCTGGTAAAACAGAGCCTGGCACTTCAAAGGAACATAGCTATTCAGTATGGATAGGCACACAATGCAAAAGATTGATGTGGCAGACAGAGTGGTCTGTCTCTAATAAATAGCAGAATACTAAAAAAATACTTCCATAAAACTTCTAAGACCTTGGATAAAATATTTTGAATGGTTTTTAAGTGCATCCACAAGTTTACAAGAGAAGGAAATGCCTTAGATGCTAAAAGTGTGGTGGAAGTATTAATCTAATGATGAAAATTTATTAATCTAGATATTATATTCAATGGTTACTTGTATATCAGAAACAATGACTAAGGTCTAGGAAAGGTGAGGGGCTAAAGATTTATGTCCTATGTATTAATGCAGTCCACTATAAAATCATAATCTCCAAATAGTAAACCAAAGATGTTTAGGGACACCATGAACTTGTGTGCTTTGATTTTAATTTTGGAAGGTAATGTTACCTCCAAGGGTTTATATTTACACTAGTCTTCATGAGGCTCAAACAATACATTAAACTAATATTTTAGTTTAAACTAACCCAAGTAAAGCAGTGAAAACTCTTTATGAAAGAATGTGCCAGCCAGATTCTGAGACCTACAGGAAATCTGTTGTGTGATTTCAGAATGATCTGATGATAAAAATAACAACTATAAATGTAAATTATGTGAAATGATTGAGAACAAGAATAAATCCCAAATAGAAGAAAGAGAGCTACATAGGTCCTTAGCACTAGAATCCAATACAAATGACAAAAATAAGAATATTGCAGTACATATGATTAAATGAATCAAGTATCACATTCAAAGTCTGAATTAGGAATAAGAGGCCCTAAAATGAGAGAAACTTTTACAAAAAAACTGAATACTCTATTAGAAATAAAAAAATACAATAAATGTGATTAAAAAGTCAATAGCTTAAATACAATATTAAATGTATCTGAAGAAAAACAGTAATTTCGAAGATAAAAATTAATGCAGCCACAAAGAATTGACAAATGGGATTACATGAAATTTAAATGCTTCTATGTAGTGTCAACAGACTGTAGAGAAAGCATACAGAAAGAGGAAAATATATATATATATATGTCATATGTAAGTTAAGTGCAAAAAGTAGAGTAGCCAGGGTCCAAATAACAAAACAATGTGACACAAGGAGGTGGGATTTTATCCTGTGATTGCTAGTAGGAACTCTGAGAATATAATAGAACAATGATTAGATTTGTGCTTTAAAATAGTAAAGTACTGTGGACTAGAGAGATAGCTCAGCAGTTAAGAGCATTGGCTGCTCTTGCAGAGGATCTTGTTCAATTTCCAGCACCCACATGGTGGCTAAAAACCATCTGTAACTGCAGTTCCAGGGTATCTAATGCCATCTTCTGACCTCTGTGGGCGTTGTATGACATGGATGTACTTACATACATGCAGGCAATATTTTGTGTATGTCATACCCAACATCTCAATCTATCTTAATCATCTCTATACCCTTGTTTACACTGGCACCCTCCCATAGCCAACCCCCCACTTGAATTCATACATTCTTTTATTTGTGTTAAGGCCTATTGTGTCAAGTTAATGTCCCTAGATATTCCTCAGTGCAAGTTCATCAACTGAGGTCTAGTCAGCCTATCTAGAGTCCCTCACTTTAGAAAGATCAGATCTTCCTCACCCAGTAGTAATAAGTTGCCAATATTTCTTCAGCTAAGATTAAAGTCTGCTGTCCAATAAAATAGTGGAGTAGTAAGTTGAATAGGAAACAGGCTAGATAGTAGGTAGTTCTAACATCAAAGGAAGATAGAGTCAAGACTGCAGTGGTAATGAAGAAGATGGGACAGAGATGCTAATTATGTAAGAGTACATTGCCAAGACTTACCAACTAGATGTTGAAAATGAAGGAGAAGAACTGGGAATGAATCTTATTCCTACCTTGGGATCTAGTGATACTCTTCAACCAAATGGGAAATTTAGGAAGGGAGCAACTTTGGGGATTAGGTTGGTAGCTATGGATTCTGCAGGTGTTAATCACTGTGAACCGTGCAAATCACTGTGGAACTGCCTCCAAGTTGCAAAGGAAATGTGGGCTCTACGGATCTTCAAGAAAGCTGTGTCAAAAATGTAAATATTCCCAAATTTCATGCTTCTGTCCTGTGTAAATTTGAGTATATTTATTCCTTGACACAAATATAAAGCTTTCATTTCTGAGCCTGGGCCTCCAGACTTCCAAATATTTTCCTGGTGCTTCTGTTAGCATTCTGGAGATCTCAAGCCCTGCACAGACCCATCAGAGGCATTAAGATACCCAACACTTACTTCCACTTCCTGGCAGAAGGTAGCATTGGGGCCATATTGGAGTTGACACTGGTGATGAACATCGTAGATCACTCCAGGGGCAATGACGTTGGACTTCAAGCCTTTCTTTTTGGGGATATCATCAAGACAGAATCCCCTGCCTCGGCTGCAAACAAGTTAACACAAATGAGAGCAGTTGCTTAGGACTCTCTCCAGTCTTCCATCCAATAGACACTTCTATCCATATCATTTACTCTTTGTCCTTCAAAACAATCTTATTCATATAAACCAGAGAACCCTCTGGGCCTGGGAGGGGAAAAAGTTGATAAAAGGAAGTGCAGATCATATCCCATGTGAATAAGTAATTAACTATGAAATACAAATGGTGGGAAAATCATCACCTTGTTGTTAACAGGGTTTGGCCAAACATTTCTGATTTGCTAGTCCCCAAGAACTGAATCTACACTTGGATATAAAAAGTCACCTTGGGGCAGTATAAATCATGGAGCAGGGTGCTCACTTGCCTGTGGACAGAAGATAGAACCCTCCTCAGTGTCAGGGTCAGAAAGCAAAAGAGACTTCCACTCCTCTGATGCTACCTTGATATTGTGGCCTGTGAAGTGAAATCAGGTCCTTTCCAGGCATCAGTTCCTCTGTGATGCAGCCTCTGACTTAGAGGCCCAAGAAAGGCACTCGTGAAAGGCACTGTCACTTACTCTAAGAAGCGAGTGATGTAGTCCTTGCTGCATTTGGACCATGTCAGCGGGGTGGGATCGTACTGAATTTGGTAGGACATGATGTATGGGTGCCTGCCCACTGGCTCACAGTCATTTTCTTTCCCATCATGCTGGATTCCGAAGCTGGTACAAAACACAAGAATAGAAGGAAATAGACATCAAACAAGGAGACATTCACAAGTGCACGAAGGTGAATAAAACCCACAGGGAGCCACTTTTGTTCAGAAGGAGCTATTTATGAAGTCAGACTTTGAAGTTGGAGGGACATAGCTGATTTTGTGTGCAAAGTACAGGGTAGGTTGTGGACATGCCTCTAACTTTAAGTCCATATGGAGCCATATGGAGAGTTACAAATTTATTTGGCAGAAAAACAAGAACTCTGGGTCTGGTTCTCTACATGTCTGGAGTTGGGAGGGTAAACCATGTCCTGGTATACTTGCCCTGTCTGCTGTAGCTATCACAGCACGAAAGAACAAAATCTTCCTTCTTCCTTTTCATCACAATTCAAGAGAAACAGGAAAGAAGTCAAAGCCAGACTTTGACAGAGGCACAAGCACTGAAGGGCTGAATTTCTTTTTGCTATTGCTACAAGTTTCCAATAGCCAATGCACTGGGGAAACCTTAGAGTTCAGTGGTTGAGACAGTGATCTAGACTGAATTAGAGCTCCGCCATTTGATGACACTTGAGTTACTGAAACTTGCCTCGTTTTCTTCTCCTTGAAAATAGGCAGTACTAGCAAGAGAGCTGAATGGATCAAGGTTTGAAAGCCATTTAGAAAGGCCTGATATATAACCATGGCTTCAAAAAGAACAGAAATTCATTTATTTTTAGTTTCAATTTAACAGGAATTTATTTTAACTTTCATTTTAGTAATAAAGTTTAGGTCAGCTGATACTCTGATATGCATGTTTAGGCAATATAAATTTTCAGTTTTTAAGAATAATCATATTGCAGTTAAACAGGGAGAAAGACACAGCAAAATTTAAAGGATTGCATACCCCCACTCACTTGTAAAAATCCTCCTTTTATTTATCTTTAAATTTGTCTTTTTTCCCCTTCTACAGAGGACACTTTTAGAAGACAATGATAAAACAGCAGGGAAAAAACTGATATCATCAAAAGTAGGATTTCTCATTATGAAAGTTCTCTCTCTGTTATCACTTCTATCAAGACATGGCCTCCTCTGTATCACCAACTAATTACTCTTCCTTTGTGTCCAGTCCCAGAAATTTAATTTTTTAAAAGTAATTTTCCTGGAGCTGGGGAGATGGCTCAGCCAGTAAAGTATTTGCTATTCAAATATGAGAACATGAAACTTTGAGCACCAGTACCCAGTGGCCAAACAGCATAACCTACTTGGTGTGTCCAGGCAACTGTCTCAGAAAAAAATGGAGAAAAACTAAGGAATATGTGGTCAACCAAACATTGACCTCTGGTCTCTACATATATGTGCACACATGTGCATGCACCTACCCACAGACACACAAAATAATTTTCCAGCCTAACTTCCTTCTTTGAATAAAGAACTTTACAGATTGATTTGTTTAAAGGCAGATGTCAGGGCTAGAGAAATGACTCAGCGGTTAAGAGCAATAGCTACTCTTGCAGAGGACCCAGGTTCAGTTCCCAGCACTCACATGGTGGCTAAAAACCATCCATAACTACAGTTCCAGGGGATCCAATACCCTCTTCTGACTCTCCACGGGCACTGTAAAACATGGGTACACTTACATACTTTTAGGCAATATACTCATACACATAAATAAAAACAATACGTAAAATATTTTTTTCTTTTTTAAAATTAGATTTTATTGAATTTTTGTATATTCCATACAGAACATCTAAATCAATCTTAATCGTCTTTATACCACTGTCCTCACTAGCACCATCTCATAGCCCCTCCCTCCCACTGGAAATCATACATTCTGTCATGTGTGTTAAGGCCTATTGTGTTAAGTTAGTGTCCCCAGATGTTCCTTACACAATTCAAGTGCAATTTTCATTTATTGAGGTCTAGTCAGCTTGTCTAGAGTCCCTCACTTTAGGAAGATCAACTCTTCCTCACTTATCAGCAATCAGTTGCCAATATTTCTTCAGCTAAGACTGGGGTCTGCTGTCCATTTCTCCAGTTCTGTGCTGAGTTTTTGTCTGCTTGAGTTTGCATGGGACTTGAGTATGCTGACATAATCACTCTAGAATCATATGAGGAGAGTCCCAGAAGCTTGTAGGACTCTATTTCCATATGGTAGTGCACCTCCTCCCTGGCTTTTACAATCTTTCCACCCCCTCTTCCACAATGTTCCCTGAGCCCTGGGTGGATGAAGTTTAATATAGGAGGCCTATCAGAGGACTAGCAGTCTGCAGACTCTTAATCTCTATGCTTTGGCCATTTGTGACCTTTTGTGTTCCTGACCCTCTCCTGCATGAAGGAGCATCATTAATGAGAACTGAGAGATTCTCTTTACCCCTGTTCTATGTTCCATGAGCCTTAGGTATAGAGGTTGATTGTAGATGTGTCACTTTGTCCTGGGAAATTCATGGACAATGTCTTTGGTATTATAATCATGAACATATGTGCACCAAACGCTAGTGCACCCAACTTCATAGAAGCAGTACTACAGGACTTTAAATAAAATATTTTTTAAGGCAGATATCTTGTTACAGGCAAATGTGAGTGAGTCTTCCATAGTCTTTGTGCTCTAAACTCATGTCTTTGTCTGCTGCCTCCCTTCCACTATTATGTGACCAGGAAGAACTGAAAATTTTAACTGTCTGTAACACCAAGATGTACCGGGAAAAGAAACTGGCCCACAGTTGTCTATTTACAATTGTGTCCTTAGGATCAACCCAAGATACCTTCTCATGTTCTTACAAAAATATACTTTCATATGGGTCTATGCATGGGAAACTTAGGGTCTAGAGACATTGGCTTAGTTTCCAAGTCTGAATACAGGAAAGTAATTTTGTATTCTTCATAATGAAAACCCTTTCGATTCAGAAACTCACATTTAATTTGGAATCTGGTCAGCAACAGAATAGACTTTGGAAGATTAGAGGTTTCCTTGTATTTTATATATTACAAAATTCACAACTTACTTGAAAATTCTAATAAAATTTCATGAATATAAAACTCACAAAGGAATCAAAGAATTAATCTGCAAATCTCTCACTACTGGCTTAGAAGATACAGTAAAAGTCTTCTGCACAGTCTTCTCCAGGCAGCTGCCAATAAGTACTAAACAGCTTATGAAATATTGCACAAGGTCACCTGTTCAGTAGCTGGTAGAAATCCTACACTGTAAGCAAGTTTCAAAAAATGTGCACAAATAATGATGTTTTTATGCAGGTCTTATGCAGATCACACTGGCCCCAAACTTGCTATGTAGCAAAGGATGACCTTGAACTTGTGATCCACTTGCCTCTAGCCCTCTAGGGCTTCACACATAGTGGGCAAACATTCCACCAAGTGAGCTAAATCCCCATCCACAAACAATGATCTTTCTTTAAGCAGGAATATTCTAACACACAAAACCATGTGAAGGAGTTTCATATACTGTGTATTTAATGATTATTTTCTTAGTGCAGAGGACTGAACCTAGATCCTTGCATAGGCTAGTCAAGCCTTGTACCACTGAGCTATATCCTGAGCCCTTAGTTAAGCCCTCATAAAGGTAGGGTCTTTCTATTGCAGCCTAGTATAACATGGAACTCAGGATGTGTCTGCTTTTCCTCCCCACTGCTTGAATTATAGATATTCATCATTATGCACCTAGTTGGTAATTAACACATTTTAAACATACAAGTTCATCATCAAAATATCATTTTATTCCACTGAAATTTTTAATGGATTATAGAATTTTCCCTCTAGCTGTATTCTCATTCAATAGCAGTGCTATTTAACCAATGTCCTCTAGTTTGTATCTACTATCTCCAAAGGGTGGAGTACTCACAGAGGAGCAGTGAATCAATAACAGTGAGGAATGAGGACATCACACTAGGCCAGAAGGCTAGAGGACATGTTTCCAGGAAGCTGCCTTTCAGCACTAGGGATGGAATCCAAAAAGCAGTTTGGAGTAGGGATCCCTGCACTCTGGAACAATCCCCAGTGTTGCTGGATCACCCTGCTTTTCTTGATCTTCATTATTTCAGTTCTTCTTTTTAAGTGAGTTTGCCAAATTACAGACTGAAATAGCAAGTTAAGTCAGTTCTTGGGTCTCAGTAGCACTTGGAGGAATATAGTCACCCTTTACCTCATATTATTTATTATTTCATGGTGCAGGGAACTCCCAAAGAGGAGTCATGAAAGGGGGAATAGGAGCTTTTTAAACTCTTTCAGCAAATACCAGGTTTGAAGATACAGTGAGCAAATCTCCATAAATGAAATAGAGCATAATTCAATATTATGACAGAGGTGAGGAGATTGAGTCAATATATATATATATTGACTCAATATATATATATACTCAGCATAAACTATTGTGCTTATACTACTTAAATGAAAAATTCCATGTATATTTGAATTTAAATACACATATCCAAAGTATCAAATTTAGTATTCAAATGTGAGAAAGAACATGCTGCACTTCTCTTTCTGGGTCTGGATTACCTCATTTGGAATGATTATTTCTAGCTCCATCCATTTGCATGTGAATTTCATCTTTTTATTTTTATTTACAGTTGAGTAATATTCTATTGAATATATGCACATTTTCTTTATCCATTTGTGAGTTGATAGACATCTAGGCTGAATAGCCATAAAAGTCATGAAATAGTAAAGAGCCATGGGAATTTCAAGGGGGATAGAACATAGGTGGTATGAAGTGGGAAAGGGGAATAATGGAACAGAAAGGTTTATATGGAGTGGACATGGGAGGACAGGGTAGGGAAGGGAGTATGGAGGAGAATAACTAACACTAAAGATCATTGAGAATATCATGTAGAAACCTACTACTGTAGAAGCTTCTGAAAATATACATATACACATACAGATGCATATATAAAAGGAGTTTAGATGTAGTTAACTAATAACAGCACGAGGTGAGGGACAATGCTTCTTGCAGACACCATAGGTTATCAATTAAAAGTCCAGTAACAGTCATGGGTTACCGCTTAGCAAACTGTT